AGCTTTCTGTTTCATGACTTAATAGAGCTCCCTTGAGCTCGCTGTTTTCTAAGGCTGTTATTTAAGTCTCTGTTGATTGTGTGAACCCCCAGTATGTTTCAAATAAGTCCCTTCCTCTTCAGTTTTGTTGTTGTTGTTTTGTTTTAGTTGGACAGACTCTTGCATGCACACGAAATCCTGAGCTGTGCAGTAGGCAACATTACAATCCAAGCACCTTCCTCCTAGGTGAACCAAATACCAAACCTATTGCCATCTAGTCAGTTTCAGAATAGACAGAATAGAAAGTACCCCATAGAGTATCCCAGAGATGCACTGGTGGCATAGTGGTTAAAGCATTTGGCTACTAACAAGAAGATTAACAGATTGAACCCACAAGCCACTCCACAGGAGAAAGATAAGATGTCTGCCTCCATACAGATTTATAGTCTTGAAAAACCTCTGGACAATTCTACTCTGTCTTATAGGGTCTCTATGAATCAGAGTTAACTGGATGGCAGTGAGTTTGGGAATCTTTACAGATGCTGACTGCCACATCTCACATGGAGCTGCCGGTGGGTTCAGACTGCCAATTTTTTGATTAGTAGTGCTTAACCATGCACCACCAGGGCTCCTGTCCTCCTGGGTAACCAAAACAGAAAGCAGTTTCATTGTCTTCAAGCCAATTTCAATTCATAGCAACTCTATAAGACAGAGTAGAACTGCCCCCATAGGGTTTCCAAGGTTATAAATGTTTATGGAAGCAGACTGCCACATCTTTCTCCCAAGGAGTGGCTTTGATTTTCAGCCAACTGCTTTAACCATCAGGGCTCTTTCCACCTAGGTAGTGCTAACTACATATAGCCACACTGTTATATGTGTAGCCTCCCCCATTTTATTTTTTCTATATTCCTTTATAATAGTCCTTCCTCAGTTATATTATGTATTAAATGAATTACTGCATTTTCTACATGTCTGGCATATAGTAGACATTATAAAAAATTAGATTCAACTTGTAACTTCCATTTGGCTTTTTTACTGGGGTTTGTCAAGTGCTCTATTTTATCTGCAGTAGAATAATAAGACACTTGGAAAACACTCTGGTTTCATCAGTAGTATATTTACAGATATTCTTCAGAGACATAATATTTTTACTTTGGTTCCTAATCTTAAGTACGAATTGTTTTGGCTCCAGGTTCCTCTTGTGCTGAAAATACTCTGCTAACTGTATTTCCTCCTCTGAAGTCTTTATTTAGTCAGAATCTTCAAGAATGAAGGAAAAGATTTGGGGGAGTTTTCTGTTTTAAAAAAAAGGTACTTTCAAAAGGTGGCAGGCAGGCACTTCTGCCAGTTCTGCTTGTGCCAACCATGTTGATAGTGTGCTCATGGCTGAAAGCACACTGGGACTCAGCATGTGTCGGCTTTGCTCTGCAGGTAATGCTCACTCTGCCTTTAAGTTAGCCATTTGTGTGATTCTCTGGGTTGTTAGAAGCAGCTAAGAAAAGAGAGATTTCTTTATCTAGCTTTCATCAAAGTTTCCTGTGCTGACATGATAACAGCACAGTACCCTGACCCTACAGTCTAGGCTAGTCTCCCATAATGAACTCTCAAAACATGGTGTATGTCTTCTTCATGTCAAACCACAGTTGTAGGTAAATCCGTATTAAATTACTTATTTTACAGAAAAATAATTGTTATTGTTTATCAAGTCCTTATTTAGCAGACATTGTATTTTATATACATTATCAAAATAATCCATAAAACAATCCTAAGAAAGAGACTTGGTGGCACTTGGCTGCTGACTAAAAGGTTGACAGTTCTGCAAAAGAAAGACCTGGCAATCTGCTTCTATAAAGATTGTTGTTGTTGTTGTTAGGTGCCATCGAGGCTTCTCTGACTCATAACGACCCTATGTACAACAGAACAAAACACTGCCTGGTCCTGTGCAAGCCTCACGATCCTTGATGTACCTGAGCCCATCGTTGCAGCCACTGTGTCCATCCATCTCATTGAGGGCCTTCCCCTTTTTGGTTGACCTGCCACTTACCAAGCATGATATCCTTCTCCAGGGAATGGTTCCTTCTGACAACATGACCAAAGAAGGTGAGACGAAATCTGGCCATTCTCACTTCCAAGGAGTATTCCAGCTGTACTTCTTCCAGGACAGATTTGTTAGTTCTTTTAGCAGTCCATGGTACTTTCAGTATTCTTCACCAACACCACAACTCAAAAACATCAACTCTCCTTCAGTCTTCCTTATTCATTGTCCAGCTCTCACATGCATATGAAGTGACTGAAAATACCATGGCTTGAGTTAGGCATGCCCTAGTCTTCAAGGAGACATCTTTGTTCTTCAGCACTTGAAAGACATCTTTTGCAGGAGATTTACCCAATGCAATATGTCATCTGATGTCTTGACTGCTGCTTCCATTGGTGTTGATTGTAGAACCAGGTAATATGAAGTCTTTGACAACTTCAATCTTTTCTCCATTTATTGTGATGCATTTTTGTTTTCTTTATATTGAGGTTTAATCCATACTGCAGACTGTAGTCTTCAGTCTTCATTAGTGTTTCAAGTTACCCTTTCAGGAAGCAAGTTTGTGTTGTCTGTATATTGCAGGTTGTTAATGAGCCTTCTTCCAATCCGTGTTCCTCTTCATATAGTTCAACTTCTTGGATTATTTGCTCAGAATACAGATTGAATAGTATGGTGAAAGGATACAACCCTGAAGCACTCCCTTCTTGATTTTAAACCCTGCAACATACCCTTGTTCTGTTCAAATGACAGCCTCCTGGTCTGGTTCCTCCTGAGTACAATTAAGTGGTTCTGGAATTCCCATTCTTCTCAGTGTTATCCATAATTTCTTAGGATCCATGCAATCAAATGCTTTTGCATAGTCAATAAAACACAAGTAAACATCTTTCTGTTATTCTTTGCTTTCAGCCAAGATCCATCTGACTTCAGCAGTGATAGCCCTTGTTCCATATCCTCTTCTGAATCCAGCTTGCATTTGTGAAAGTTCTTTGTCAGTATACTGCTGCATCCGTTTTTTGAATTATCTTCAGTAAGATTTTACTTGTATGTGCTATTAATGATATTTTTCGATAATTTCCACAATCCATGGGATCACTTTTCTTTGGAAAGGGTACAGATATGGATCTCTTCCAGTCAGTTGGCCAGGTCTTCCAAATCTCTTGGCATAGCTGAGGGAGTACCTCCAGCGTAGCATCTGTTTGTTGAAACATTTCAGTGGGTATTCCATCAATTCCTGGAGCCTTGTTTTTTTACCAATTCCTTCAGTACAACTTCAACTTCTTCCTTCAGTACCATTAGTTCTTGATCATATGCCACCTTTTGAAATGGATGAACATCGACCAGCTATTTTTAGTACAGTGACACTGTGTATTCCTTCCATCTTCTTTTGATGTTTCCCATATCACTCAATGTATTACCCATACTTTCAGTATTGCAACTGAGGCTTAAATTTTTTTCTTCAGTTCTTTGAGCTTGAGAAATGCCAAGCATGATCTTCCCTTTTGGTTTTCTAACTCCAGGTCTTTGCACGTTTCACTATAATAATTGACTTTGTCTTTTCGAGTTGCACTTTGAAATCTTCTGTTCAGCTCTTTTATCTTGTCATTTCTTCCATTTGCTTTAGCTACTCTCCATTCAAAGGCAAATTTCACAGTCTCTTCTGACATCCACTTTGGGCTTTTCTTCCTTTCCTGTCTTTTTAGTGACCTCTTGCTTTCTTCATGGATGATGTTCTTGAGTCATCCCACTATTTCTCTGGTTTTTGGTCACTGGTTTTCAGTGCATCAGATCTGTTTTAGATGGTCTCTAAATTCAGGAGGGATGTAATCAAGGTCATATTTTGGCCTTCGTGGACTTGTTTTAATTGTCTTCAACTTCAGTAAAGATTACAGCCTAGAAGAACTCTGGGACAGTTGTGCTCTGTCACATGAGGTCACTATGAGTCAAAATCAACTTGACGGTACCCAACAATACGGAGATACTGTTAAAACTTATTTTATAGATGTAGAAACTAAAGTTTATAAAGATTATGGATCTTGTCCAAAGTCCTATAACTAACAAGTTAGTAGAGCCAGAATTTTAATTTATAAGGATACTCACACCAGTGAGAATGTCATTTGGCTTCATACTGAGTAGAAATTAAGTGAGACCTTGTGGTGGTTAAGTTTGTGTGTCAACTTGACTAGGCCTGGTTAAGTGGCTGGGTAGCTGGATGTAGTATTTCCCATGATGAAACTGGTAATCAACTCCATGGTGGAATTTACTGTGAGCAGCTGAGGAGCTGCTTTAGGGATGTAGTCTGCTTTCCATATATAAGAAACAGCTTTGGGAATGGTCTCTAGCTTATGGCACGCTTGAACCCTGCATGTAGCCCTGTTGTTGTTTAGCAGTCGACCTTGGGACTTTCAAAGTACTTGAATGAATAGCCTGCCATGTGCTTTGGTAACATCAGGACTGTGCCATTTTATTTGTCAACCTTGGGCTTGTTAGCCTCAGCAGCCAGTAGCTGCCTGAGTGAAGAGATACCTCTAGTTTCAGTGGACCGGGAGCAAGAGGCAAAGCTGAAGCCCAAGGTCGAGGGGCTTTCCCACAGCCCCCAGAGCCTGGCACTTTGAACTCGAACTTCTGATCTCCTGAACTATGAGAGAATAAACTCCTGTTTGTTCAAGCCATCCCATTTGCGGTATATTCTTGTGAGAGTGGCACTTGGTAACTAGAACAGACTTGCATTACCATTCCATGCAAAAGAAACATAGAAAGGAAAGGACATGCCAGGAAAACCTAGGATTTGGGTATTAAACATCAAGAACACAATTGATGGTAAGCCATATGGTCATGTGTTTTTCTGTATATCTGTATAAGATATAGGTGAAACTGACATTCTCAAAAGTCAAGCTTCTGCCTCTGCTTAAGTCTTACTTACAAAGAAAACTTACCTTTTTATTGTTGTTCACTTATGAGAAATTATGAATTTTGTAATCTCTTTCAGAAAAGAAGAGAAGAGAGCACTCGACTAAAGGAAGAGGGAAATGAACAATTTAAGAAAGGAGGTGAGTTCATTGTTTCACCATTGATGTCTGATCACCTTGACCTTCTCATTATTTTTTTAGATTCTGTGAAGAAGTACCAAAGAACGTTGGGAAACAAGCAGCAGATCTAAACTGCTACTAATTCTGTGTTGTTACCCAGCACTTTGGGGTTTTGTGTATTACTAGGTCCACAATATTTTCAGCTAACAGTAATCAGTTACCATGTGTCTCTTGGCAAAGGCATGGGTTTTCCTGTAATCTACTATTAGTCTAGAAACGGAAGAGGGGAGAAAACCTGTGTGGGAAGATACTTAGCAATAATTGCTTTAGGAAACTCTTACCTTGAATGTTAAAAGGCTATTTGTGGCATTGCTCTAAAACAGGATCCTTATTCCTCACTTGCTCCAGTGCTATAAAAACAGGCCTAACCCTTCCACCATGGCCAAGGGAGGTATTTTGCTTGTACTTAGCTTGCTTTCTCATGTGCCTTTCTCTTTGGATGCCTTCAGTAGACAGATGTTCTTCATGCCCTTCTGTATTTCCTACGCTTGCTTAGGAATAAGTTGGTTTCACTCCAATAATTTAGAGAAACTATTTGATCTTAAAACAGCTTTCTATCATATCTCAAAGTGTGTATGCTTTAGAAACCTAGAAGGAATATTAACATTTTCCCCTAGTTATTTTTATGTTTAAAATTTTTTTGCTCATATCCTGGTGTAGCAGTCATCATTTCCTCTTTTTTTCTTTTCTAGTAGAACTAATTATTCTAATTTTGAAAGCATATCTCTCTATATTTTAGTATTCTAAACCTGAGGAGTGAATAGGCAATTCTCTCTTAGTACTCCAACCATAATTCTGTGCATGCAAAGAATACATAAATTTATTACCTTTTTTTCTTTTAGAGTCTTTTATCAAATATTGATTTTTATATTGTAGCTCTATGAAATGATCTAAACATTTAATGGATACTGTTTAGTGTTTATTCAGATTGACTATGAGACAGCACCACAGTGTCTATAATGAAAACATTTGTGTCAGTTTTTCTCTTAATCCCACAGTGAATCTCTTACTTTAATCTCTTTCTTCTATACAGTTCCCTAACACTCTTTTAAAACTTTTTACTGAATTAATAAGCCAAATGAAAACTGAACATAAAAGACAGTATATAGGAATCTTGAGCATTGAGGGTTCTTCACTTACAATGTGTTCTAAATTCAGTTTCCCAAACAAGCCTCATTAGATTGTCACAAGCAGAGACTATTTCTTTAAAGAGAGGAGAAAGGGAAAAATAATTTTCAATGTCAAGATGTAATATACTGTCACTGTCTTCTTATTTGAAACCTTTGTCCTATAATTGGAAAGCTATACATTCTTAGATCCTATAGATTATCAAGAATAAAATTGTAATGACCCCTTTCTTTTTCCTGTAATCCTTAGATTATATAGAAGCTGAAAGTTCTTATAGTCGAGCCCTTCAGATGTGCCCATCCTGCTTCCAAAAAGATAGATCTGTTCTGTTTTCAAATAGAGCTGCTGCAAGGATGAAACAGGTATGTATATCTGACCTTTTCTTTTTAAGACAGAAATGGACTTGCAGTGTTTTCAAAGGGTAACTTCTCTTCAAAAACAAACTTAGGGACTCAAAGTCACAGCCTCTGCCCATACATCCCCCTGATATAAGTGGCATAGGGACAACAGATGAATATTTTGCAAAACTTGAGCCAGATTATTGTTAACCTTCCCCACTGGGATAGCTGAGAAAATAGTTTCATGGAAAGAAGTCAGGCAAAGTTTCCACCAAACTAGGGCAGGTTAATGAAGCAAAGACCAAGTAGTGCATGTCCTACATTAACTGCAACTGCTTATTTTAAGCCTCTGGAATTCTAGGTGAAGACTCAGAGGCAGAAGGAAACACTGATTAAAACCCTGGACTTAAAGATTCTTATTTTTGAAGTTCTGATTTTCCTTTTGAAAGTATGGGCACTGATAGATAGGCCCAACAGATGGCATGAGAGGTACCCTATATAATAATTCAAAATAGGTGTTATTTCCAAAGGATTGAGAGTCTGGTATAAACAGTCTGAGTATAGAGAAGGTGATAGTACAAAAATACTTGTTTTAGACTGAGTTAGTATTAAAAGTTATTTGATGCATGTTTGTCTGATCATGGGCTTTATTGGGTTAAAAAGAACAATAACAGTTATTTACCTGTAGCTACTGACATACAGGGGAGCTCTGGTAGCATAGTGGCTAAGGTACTTGACTGCTAACCAGAAGGCTGGCAGTTCAAACCCACCAGCCACTCCTCGGAAGGAAGGTTGGGCAACCTGTTTCCGTAGTGATACTGCCTGGGAAACCCAAGGAGGGGTCACTGTGAGTCGGGTCTGACTCCACGGCACATAACAACAACAATAACAACACTGACATACAAAGTGTAAAGTGTAGGTTATTTAATGTACCTTTTAGCAACCAAGATGCAGGCTCAAGATTGGTTGAAATGATACTTTGTGTCCTTGTTCAGATCAGGTATCTGTTGTCACTTTCTCTTTGATTTTGCCTGAAAATCTTTAGTGCCTCTACCAAAATCACTTTGGGTATCCAGATTTTTTAAAAAGGTAGGTGGTACTTGAATGCTTAGGTACACAGAAAGTTTTGGGGTTTTTGTTTTTTAAACTTGTTCTTATGTATTTTATTATTGGATTCACTCTTTAGGTTGAAGGATTTTTGGAAGGAGTCCTGTGACATGGGGGAAGAAATAATTTTACAGAATATGCAGACATTTTGTATCAGGCAAAATTAAGCAGTTCTTTTTTAAGTTTATTTAAAACAATATTCACTCATGTAGCCTACCAGCAGAGATCAGAATTCACACATAACAGTGTTTTACATAGCTGCAAAATTCTGCTCTTTTGCATTTCTGTCTCTCTCTTGCTATATTCTTTGTCCTTCTGAAATAGGATTAAGGATGCCTTGAACATCAGAAACAATGGACCATTTCTTTTTGGCTCCTGGGACTTGGGATTCTTTGTTTCCACAGTTACCAAATTATTGCTATTACTAGGGTTAAGCTAGCATAAGTGTCTTGAGTTAGGAAAATATATGGTCTTTCTAATATTTTTATACCACAACTAAGGAGAACTATAAAGAGAATTGTGCCATGACTGGAAAGTACAGTTAGATCAGTGGTTCTCACTTTTGAAGGCACAAATCTCTCTGAGAATTTGATAAAAGCTATGGAAACCCTCTCACACACAAAAAAATGCACATATACATAAAAAATTGCTTTTGAAGTATCTCTGACTTCCAAAGCTTGTGTGTCCCTGAAGGTCCTCTTTAGTCTAATATTCCAAGAATTCCTTTATAGAGACAAATATTGTATTAGTCCATTATTGTAAAAGTTAAGGAAAGGTTTATCTATTGGAGGAAATTTTCTTTGTTGGTTACCAGGGGTGGGAGGGGAGGGGAGGGAACGCTGTTAGATAGATAGAGATAAATATTGATTTGGGTGAAGAGAAGGGCAATGTACCAAATGTGAGTGACCAATATGGCAGCATTGAGGATGAGAAAGACACAGAGAGGTACATGGCCAGTACAGACAACAAATATGAAACCTTTTGCATATACAGTACTAAGTTGTCAGTGAAAGCAAACATGGGTATATGGACGGATAGATAGGTGGACAGGCTAAACAATTAGGTATGTCTAAATGGGGAGTGTCTCCAAGATCACATATAGGGTTGGCAGACAGTGGTCCTATAAGTTTATGTGAATGATCAGAATTCCCAGGTGTATAGTAGAGCTGACAAGGGGCAAGGTTATGGTCATTGCTTGATCACAGCCAGCTACCCAGAGCGACCGAGTAGTTGAACCTGAGGGCTTGGGACCATAGACGCAGGGGACATCAAGCTCAATTGGCTTAATATACTATACAAAACATTGTTCCACCTCCTACTTTGGCGAGTAGCGACTGAGATCTTAAAAGCTAGCAAGCTGCCATCTAGATGCAACAATGGGTCTCTCCTCGTCAAGAAGAAAGAAGAAAACCAAAATTAATGGAAACAATCAGTCCTAGCGACTGGTACACCATCTGATCTGCAACGTATACAACTATGAGACCAGAAGAACTAGATGGTGCCTGGCTACCACTGTCATCCACTTGGAAAGGATGTAGGAGATCCTGCATAGAGAGGGAGAACAATGTGGAACGAAACTCAAAATCATTTGGAGGCAAAAAAAAAAGAAGGTAGGGACCAGGTTTGCTGGTCCAATAGAGCCTGGTGGAACCACTGAGACTATGGCCCCTAGCTGCCCTTCAGGTCTGGAATTGAACCCATACCTGTGGTTTCCAGCCAAACAAAGTACAGGCATGTGAGTTAAACATTTACCTCAAGTAGACACGTGCCCTGGAGAGAACAATCATGGGAGAAGGAAGGGCTGCTTATGCACAGGGAGACAGCTCAGGACGCAGAAGAGTATGGAGGGATGGACACTGGGAAGAGGTAACTATGGGGAGGAAGTGGGAGGGGAGCTGTTGCATTGTAAATTTTGGTCAATGACATGAGACAAAGTATATGTGAACTGCTATATGAAAAGTGAATTTACTCTGTAAATCTTCACCCAAATCAAAATAAAATTAAAAAAAAAAAAAAAGAATTCCTTTATAGAAACCTATAGCCTGGCATGATTATTTAGTTTCACTGTGTGTGGTGGGAGCTCTGGTAGCATAGTGCCTAAGGCACTAACTGCTAACCAGAAAGCTGGGGGTTCAAACCCACCAGCCACTCCTCGGAAGGAAGGTTGGACATTTTACTTCCATAGTGATACCGCCTTGGAAACCCAAGAGGTCGCTAGGAGTTGGGTCCAACTCAATGGCACATAACAACAACAACAACATGTGTGGTAGTTCAATTTGTATGTCAGCTTGGCTGGGCCGGGTTGAGTGGCTGGGGAGCTGGTGGTAGTTACTCCCCATGAGGAGACTGGCGATCAACTCCATGATAGGATCTGCCACAAGCAGCTGAGTAGCTGCCTTTGGGATGTGGTCTGCTTCCTGTATATAAGGAGAAACCTTGGGGATAGTCTCTAGCTTATGGCATGCTTGGACCTTGCATGTAGCTGTGTCATTGTTCAGCAGCCTACCATGCTCTGCCGACCTCAGGACTTAAAATGGACTTGAATTAATGGCCTGCCATGTGGTTTGGTAACATCAGGACTGTGCCATTTTATTTCATCTTGGGCTTGTTAGTCTCAGTAGCCAGTAGCTGCCTGAGTGAAGAAAAGCCTGTAGCTTCAGTGGGCTGGGAGCTGGAGGCAGAGCTGAAGCCCAAGGTCGAGGGGCTTTCCCACAGCCCCTAGAGCCTGGCACTTTGAACTTGGACTTCTAACCTCTTAAATTGTAAGAAGAAACCCGTTTGTTCGTGCCATCCCATTTGTGACATATTCTTGTCAGAGTGGCACTAGGTAACCAAAACACTATGTTTCAAGTTTTTTATTGTTTTTGTTGTTAGGTAGAATCCAGTTGGTTCCAATTCATAGCAATCCTACATTCAACAGAATGAAACACTACCCAGTCCTGCGGCATCCTCATGATCATTGCTATTCTGTGGCCCATTATTATATTCTGTAGTCCCTTCTCCAGGGACTGGTCCCTCCTGGTAACTTGTCCAAAGTATGTGAGACGAATTATTCCCATCCTCTCTTCTAAGGAACATTCTGGCTGTACTTCTTCTAAGACAGATTTGTTCATTTTTCTGGCAGTCTATGGTGTAATCAATATTCTTCATTCACACTATAATTCAAAGGCATCAATTATTCTTCATTTTTCCTTATCCACTGTCCAGCTTTCTCATGCATATGGGGCAATTAAAAACACCGTGGCTTCAGTCAGGCTCACCTTAATCCTCAAAGTGACATCGTTGTCTTTGAACATCCTAAAGAGGTCTTTTTGCACCAGATTTGCTCAGTGCAATGCATCATTTGATTTTTTTTTTTTTTAATTGTGATTTGGGCACAAATTTACATCATTTGATTTCTTGACTGCTGCTTCCATGGGCATTGATTGTGGATCCAAGTAAAATTAAATCCTTGACAATGTCAGTATTTTCTCCATTTATCATAATGTTACTTACTGGTCGACTTGTGAAGGTTTTTGTTTTATGTTGTATAATCCATGCTGAAGGCTGCAGTCTTTCATCTTCTTCATTAAGTGTTTCAAGTCCACTTGACTTTCAGCAAGCAAGGTTGTGTCATCTGTATATCCCAGATTGTCCTTGAATCTTCCACCAATTCTGATGCCACGTTCTTCTTCAATTAGTCCAGCTTCTCAGGTTTTTTGATAAGCATACAGATTAATTTAAAGTATTGTGAAATACAATGCTGACACACCCTTTTCTGAGTTTAAACCACACAGTAACTCCATATTCTATTTGAACAACTGCCTCTTGATTTATGTACAGCTTCTACATGACCACAATTAAGTGTTCTGGAATTCCCATTCTTTGAAATATTATCCATAATTTTTTATGATCCACATAGTTGAATGCCTTTGTAT